GGATCTGTGGTCACTTGGGGTCACGCCGACACCGGTGGCGATAGCAGTACGGTTCAGGATCAGCTGCGAGATGTGCAACAGATCCAAGCTTCTGGTGGTGCATTTGCTGCAATCCTGGGTGATGGATCCGTGGTCACCTGGGGTCGTGCCGACTGGGGTGGCGACAGCAGCACGGTACAGGATCAGCTGCGAGATGTGCAACAGATCCAAGCATCTGTTGCTATATTTGCTGCAGTCCGGGGGGATGGATCTGTAGTCACTTGGGGTGATGCCGGCACCGGTGGCGATAGCAGTAACGTGCAGGTTCAGCTGCAAAATGTGCAACAGATCCAAGCTTCGCCAGGAGCACTTGCTGCAATCCTGGGTGATGGATCTGTGGTCACCTGGGGCATTGCCGCCGACGGTGGGGACAGTAGTGCGGTACAGGATCAGCTGCGAGATGTGCAGCAGATCCAAGATCAAGGAGCATGCCCAGAATGATTTGCTGCAATCTGGGTGATGAATGTGCGGTCATGTGGTGTGGATCGACAACAATGCAGTAAAAGATCACCTGCGAGATGTGCAGACATTTCCTAAGGCTACTACTACAACCACCACCACGACGACGACTACTACTTCCACTACCACGACTAGTAGTAGTAGTAGTAGTAGTAGTAGTAGTACTACTACTACTACCACTACTACTACTACTACTACTACTACTACTACTACTACGACTACTAGCCACCCCCGTCTATCAACTACACTTCGTGATTGTCATCAAATCAACATCATCACCACCAGCATCACGCAAAGAACAAACACACTTCTTCACCAACATCACGAATAATGAAACACATTTCATCACCTTTCATCACCAACATCAGCAAAAGTACTGTAACTACCCCTGCTACTACTACTACTACTACAACTACTACTACTACTACTACTACTACTACTACTACTACTACTACTATTACCTACTACTACTGCTACTGCTACTGCTACTGCTACTGCTACTACTACTGCTGCTACTACTACTACTACTACTAGTACTAGTACTACTACTACTACTACTACTACTACTGCCTACTACTGCCTACTACTGCCTACTACGGCCTACTACTTCTACTACTACGACGACCACAACTACTACGACGACGACGACTACTACTACTCCCCCTACCGCTACCGCTACCGCTACTGCTACTGCTACTGCTAATGCTACTGCTACTGCTGCTGCTACTGCTACTACTACTACTACGACGACGACTACTACTACTGCTGCTGCAGCTACTGCTACTGCTACTGCTAGTGCAAACAGTAACATAGCAACAATATTATCATCAACAACAGCAAGACTAGTAATATGAGTAGTTACCATAGTAGCTACAGTGACAATAACAATAACTGCCATCGTGATAAAATAAACAAGCAAAGCAATACATAACTAAATACATGTAAAGCTAAATCTAGTTACAAATATAAGCAGAAAAATGGATATAAGTACGAACAAATACATGAATGGAAATATTATTACACATGAATAATTGAACATATAAAATAAATACGCACATAAATGAATAAATGCGGTAATAAACAAACAAACACATAAATGCAAATAGCAAGATAAATATGTAAGCATACCTATATATCTGCCCTAGGGTTGAGGCTTTAGTTTTTCGGCGTAAGGGGTGCGCAGCCTCCATGTGACGTTTCAGCAACATCCCTGACATGCAAGCAACTGACGCCATGGATCCTGAGTCGTAAAGACACGGAGACCTCGGAAAGCAACTATGCCAATACTGCGTACAGGAAGTTCCTAGCATTGAAGCACATATCCTGAAGCCTGCTTGAACCCCAAGGAATCCAAGGAACCTACCTTGTTGAGGACTTGTTTAAGGAACTCATAATGAGGAACCCTGAAAGTGTAGGTTCTTAAGGGTCCGCTTCAGGCTTTCAGGAGCAGAATACTCGGAGGGTCTGGGGACTAGTAACTAGTTATATATAAAGAGAGAGAGAGAGAGAGAGAGAGATATATATATATATGTATATATTACAGTTATAATTATCATAACCCGAATGAGGATCCCTTTTAGGGCGCTTACAACTCTACTTACCGCTGTTCCAGGTCGACTAGGCTTTGAGCCTGTAGGTCCATCAATCATCAGGGATATGTTTCGCCTTGCATAGTATACAATGAGTTACATCTTTACCAGCCGTAGGTTTGAGTCTCTGCGCCCTTGTGCCCTCGAACCATTGAGTAAATCCGGCACACCGGAGGCCTCTGACACCATTATGGTCCCAGTCCCCAAATCCCAGATTTTCTTCATGCGATGCGCCAATAGCCGCTGTAGAAAGCTACTGCATGTATACCGAATATGCGTGAAGTTATATATATATATATGTATGTGTGTGTATATATATATATATAATCTAATATATATATATATATACATACACATACATATGTACAGTTTAGATAGATAGATACATGGATAGATACATAGACAGATGTATACTTTAGATAGATACATAGACGGATGGATGGATGGATGGATGGATGGATGGATGGATGGATAGATAGATAGAAAGATAGATAGATATAGAGAGATAGGTGGGTAGGTAGGTAGATAGATAGGTAGGTAGGTAGCTAGGTAGGTTGACAGATAGATGAGTATACATACATACATGCTTACCCTTAACACCTAGTCAATCGTCAAGGCCCTTGTTTTTGATCCTGAAAGCCCTTAAGCACCGAAGCCAAGTCCGCACTCGACAACGCTACAATTCCGGGATTCGGTCTTAGCTTATTCGGGGAGTTTTCAGGTTGCAGTTACAGCTTCTAGCTGAGGGTCCAGTTAAAACTGTACCCTCGCAGCCGAAACGATAAGACAGCCTACGATTTGGAAGTATGTGCTCGAAAACCCTTGGCCCCATACCCAAAAACTTGAGCGTCAAGAAACCAAAAAGCGAACACCGGCAATCTTTCAGGCTCCTTTGCGACAACAGCGCTGCAGATGTGGACCCCTGACTGCAGTGAGGTCGACTTTATGGATTTGAGGGCCAACACTGGAGATCTTGGAGTAGAAGCTTGTGGAGTTCAAGACATGGGTGAAGGAGACGAGGTTTGCGTGGTGTTTAGGGATTTTTAGGATTCGAGGGTTCCGAGTTCAAGTTCAGGTTACAGTTCGGGTGCAGGGCCGGGGCTTCCGCAGTATGGGGCTTGGGTCCTTGTAGAGATGCCTATCCATGAATTACCGTACGGGGCCCTTGCAATCTAAATCGAAACCCGAATTTGCCAGATATGGTCCTTTCCGGGTCTCCGGAAGTATACCTTGAGTGGGAACTGGGGGTCCCGACTTCTGGCTTGGCTTTTCATCTGTCGCACTCGAGCTGTTGAGTTTCTGAGTTTTAAACCAAGAAGAAGCCCCAAGCCGTAACACCCAAAGGCACCTAGACCCCAAGATGCAGAAGCAACCAAGGCCTAACGCAGGAAGCCCCAATCAAACCCAACAGCATTGAAGCCCTAATCCGGAAGCGCCAGTGCCGAAGCCTAAGCTTCGAAAACCTCAGCCGCAAGCCAGTGCGGGCTGAGGATTGGTTGGTTGAGAAGTTCAACCTCGACCTGCCCCTGCGATTCAACATGAGTAGTAAGAGTAAACAATATCACACGTAGTTCCAAGAATAACATAGCAATCGTAGTCAGAAGAACAATCATGACAGTGATAGGAGTCATAGTAGTAGTGACAGTAGCAGTAGCAGTAACATTAACAGTGGCAGTAGCAGCAGCAGCAGTAGCAGCAGCAGTAGCAGCAGCAGTAGCAGCAGTAGCAGTAGCAGCCGCAGCAGTAGCAGCAACAGCAACAGCAACAGTAACAGAAACCATAGTAACAAAGATAAAAGCAATAACAGTCGCAGCGTTGATGATGATATATTGTCTCCAAGATCAGGTAGCAGTAGGAGTAGGTGTAGGAACAGGACTAGGGTGGGCGCAGTATCAGGATTAGGAGTAGGAGTTTGAGTGGGAGCAGGAGTAGGGTCAGAAGTAGGAGTAGTCGTCGTCGTAGTAGTAGTAGTAGCAGCAGTCGTAGTAGTAGTAGCAGTAGTAGTAGTAGTAGTAGTAGTAGTAGTAGGCGCCCCCCCCCCCCCCCTACCAACTACACTTGCTTAAAA